GGGATTTATTCCAGAGATGCAAGGCTGGTATAATATTCTTAAATCAATAAATGTGATACATCACATAAAGAAATTGAAATACAAAAATCACATGATCACATCAATAGATACAGAAAAAGCATTTGACAAAATCCAACACCCATTTTTGAGAAAAACTCTCAGCAAAGTGGGAATAGAGGGAGCATATCTCAACATGATAAAGGCCATATATGACAAACCTACAGCCAACATCATACGCAATAGGCAAAAACTAAAACCATTTCCCCTAAGAACAGGAACAAGACAGGGATGTCTGCTTTCACCACTCTTATTCAACATATACTGGAAGTCCTAGTCACAGCAATCAGACAAGAAGAAATAAATGGCATCCAAATTGGAAAGGGGGAAGTAAAACTCTCATTATTCGCAGATGCCATGATATTGTACATAGAAAACCCTAAAGACTCCACCAAAAATACTACTAGATTTAATAAATGAATTTTGCAATGTAGCAGGATACAAAATCAACACCCAAAAATTGATGCTTTTTATATACAACAATAATGAATTCTCAGAAAGAGAAACTAAATAAACAATGCCATTTAACATTACAACAAAATAATTAGGATAAATTGAGAATAAATTTAACCAAGGAGGAAAAAGGCCTGTACTCAGAAAACTATAGGACGTTGGAAAAATAGATAGAAGAAAATGTCCTGGGAAGAGAAATATGGCAGCTGATAGGATGGAGGTGAGGGAGAGGATGTGAGTGAGTGAGGGGGTGAAAGGAAAGTGTGTGGATGTGTGTGGTGTATGTGTGAGTAAGTGATGGACAGTTAAATCTGGCAGGAGTAGCAGGGGCTGGCAGACCAGCCTCTCCTGGACAGGGAGCACCTACCACCCCTGTGGGCACTTCCTGGGCTGTGGCGCTCGGGCATGGAGCCCACACCATCTTGAAGGGGAGAGAAGCCTCTTCTAGGAACTCTTCAGCAACACCACCCAGACAGGCCTTGGACACTGCCCATGACCCTGCAGCCACTCCAGCCAAAATCCTGCTGCCCCACCCGCAGACCTGCAGACCCTAAGACCTCCACCTCCAAGGGTGAACGGCTCCCTCAGCAGTAAGTGCGACTTCCCCCCTCCCCAGCAGCAGACCCCTGGATGCCACAGTCGTGCTTTTCCAGCGCACAGGCCTCCTGAGCCCACCGCTCCACACGCCGCTCTTGGGTGCTGCTGTGAGCCCCCACTGGGCATGCTATTATACAAACAAGGATGCACTGCCCCGGCAGTAGAAATTCTGAATTCCCTCTTCCTGGATACCTGCCCACAGACACCTCGGTTGTGCAGCTTTAGCGCGAGGGCCCCTCTGAGTGCCTGAGTGTGCTGCCCTGGCAAATGGACCGTGGGTGCCTCTGTGAGCCACCATTGGGCACATGTGAATCCAACCAAGGATGCAAGGCCCCCAGCAGTAGAATTTCAGACTTCCCCCACTTCTGGCTGCCTGCCCACACACACTTCAGTAACGTGGCTTCAGCACAAGGGCCTCTCTGAGTGCACCACCCTGGCAAATGGCCTCAGGGTACCTCTGTGAGCTGCCACTGGGTGCACACAAATCCAACAAGGGCTCAAGACCCTGGCAGCAAAAACTGAGTCTTCCCACTTCACAGCTGCTGACCTCTGGACACCACAGTCGTGCTTTTCCAGTGCACAGGCCTACTGAGCCCAAGGCCACAAAGGGTGTGCCTCTGTGAGCCCCCGCTGGGTGTGTTCATATCCAACAAGGTCACTCAGCCCCAACAGTAGAAATTCAGACTCCCCCCACTCCTGGCTGCCTGCCCACAGACACCTCGGTCATGTGGCTTCAGCGCCAGGGTCCCCCTGAGTGCATGACTGCACTGCCCTGGCAAAAGACTTCCAGATGCCTCTGTGAGCCACAATTGGACATGCATGAATCCAACCAAGGCCTTGGCAGCAAAAACTGAGTCTTTCCACTCCACAGCTGCCAACCTCCAGACACCACAGTTTGCACCTTTCCAGAGCACAGGCCTCCTGAGCCCCACCACCCCAACAGATGACTGCTGGGTGCCTCGTGAGCCCCCAGTGGGCACGCGCGATTTCAACCAAGGGCGCAAGGTAGCAAAACTTGGGACATTCCCCTCCCTGGCTGCTGTCCTCTGGACACGGCAGTTGCACCTTTCCAGCACACAAGCCTACTGAGCCTGCTGCCCCTAGAGGCGGCTCCTGGGTGTCTCTTTGAGCCCCGGCTGGGAGAGTTTGTATCAAAACAAGGGCACAAGGCCCTGGCAGTAGAAATTTGGACTTCCTCCTTCCCAGCTGCCTACCCACAGACACTGTAGTCATGTGGTTTCAGCACACAGGCCCCCTGAGGCCACTGCCCCAACAGGCGACTCCCAGTTGCCTCTGTGAGCTGGCACTAGGCACACTTGTATCCCAAACAAGGGCTCAAGGCCTTGGCAGCAGAAACTCAGACTTCTCCCTCCTCAGCTGCCAACCTCTGGTCACTGCAGTTACACCGATCCAGCACAAAAGCCCCCTGAGCCTGATGCCCCAGCAGGCGGCTGCTGGGTGCTTCTCTAAGCTGCCACAAAGCACAACCCCGGCCACTGGAATCCAGTCCCCATGGTAGCACCGCTCCAGCACAAGGGCCCCCTGAGCCCACTGCCCCAGCAGACGGCTACTGGGCAACTCTGTAAGCAGCCATTTGGTGTACATATCCAACCAAGGGCACACATCCCCTGAAGCAGAAACTGGGACTTCTCCCTCTACAGGGCTGGTGGCACACCACAATCGCTCTGATCCAGCATGTGGCCCCCACAAGCACACACCCATTGCAGACAGCTCCTGGGCCTCTCAGTGTGTTGCCACTGGGCGTGTGCCTTTGCAACCAAGGGCGCACAGCTCCCTTAGTAGGATCCATGACATCCCCCTCCTGGCTACCTACCTCTGAACAACTTGGTGAGTTACTGAGGACTTGCATCCCTGGGCAAGGTCACATTTTTTCAGCCACAGACCTCGAGATTCACACATCCCCAGCTGCTGGATTCTGAACCCCCTTGTGATTCAGAGAGGGAAATCACTTTGGCCAGAGTCCCACTGCCTTAACCACAGACTATGAGACACCCCCACACACACACTGTCACAGGCTCCGGGCCTCTCATAGTGAGTTGCAGAGTGAGGCTAATCCAACAAGAGTCACACCACACTGGCGAAAGTCACAGTACCCGAGCCTCAGGCCCCGAGACTCCTTTCTCCCAGGTTGTAGACTCTGGGAACCCACAGTGAGCACATAGCAGTGAGACCTCAGACAACCTTTACCACAAGAGCTGGAAGCACAATCACATCCAAAACAGCTTGCACAATGAAGCCGGGGGTGAGTCACATTGCCAACCCATGACAAGAATTCATCATGAATAAGAAACTAACATTCAAGATACAACTACATCAAGAGAACCCAAATAGCTCAAGTAGGGAGCTCTGCTAGATCACCAAGCCCAGGAGATCTGAAAGATCACACCAGTAGCACCATCCCCCAAAGAACCTGGGCAGCAAAGCAGTTGTATCTAGGACACAGAACAATTAAAATATTACAGCAAAACATGGGGAGACAAAAAAAAATCCCCAAAGAAAAGAAAAGAGAAATCACCAAAAGTGAATTAAATGAAATGGAGGCAAGTAACATGTCAGAGAAAGAATTCAGAGTAATGGTTATAAGGATGCTCAAATGGCTGGATGACAAATACACACAATTCAATGAGAATTATAAGGAGCTGAATGAGAATGTCACCAACATGAAAAGGAACCAAGAGGAAATGAAGAACAACATAGCTGCAATAAAGAACACAATGGAAGGCTTAAACAGTAGACTAGAAGAGGCTGAGGATCGCATCCACAAATTAGAAGATAAGGTAGGAAAAAACACACAAACACCGCAGCAACTGAAAAGAAAACTTAAAAAGTAAGAGGAGAGCCTAAGGGAACTTTGAGACAACACAAAACGAAACAACATCCATGTAATAGGGGTCCCAGAAGGAGAGGAAACTAAGTAAGGAATAGAAAACCTGTTTGAAGAAATAATGACAGAAAACTTCCCTGATATTGGCAACAAAAAAACCATGCAAGTCCAAGAAGCACACAGAGTTCCAAACTAGATGAACTCAAAAAAGACCGACACCAAGACACATCATAATTAAACTGGAAAACATCAACGACAAAGTAAGAATCTTAAAGGCTGTCAGAGAGAGACAGAAAGTTACCTACAAGGGATCTCCCATTAGAATATCAACTGATTCCTCAACAGAAACACACCAGGCCAGAGGGAATGGAATAAAATATACAAAGTGATGCAAAGCAAGGGACTGAATCCAAGAATACTATACCCAGCAAGGCTATCACTTAAAATTGAAGGTGGAATCAGGAGCTTCACAGACAAAAAAGGGCTAAGAGAGTTTATTACCACCAAACCAGCAATGCAAGAAATGCTAAAGGGACTGCTGTAAAAAGAGGAAACAGAAAGATAAGAGGAAACACAAACATTAAGAATAAAAGTGATGACAAACAAGTACTTATCAATAATAACATTAAATGTAAATGGATTAAATGCTCCAATCAAAAGACATAGGGTAGGGGTGGCAAGGGCCTGGAAGAAAGTCCTGGGAAGCCCATCCTGGGCAGTGGCAGTCCCCTTGTGTCCCCCTCCTGTCACACAGTGTGGCAGTTCTCCACAGAGACAGGCCCTCCCCTCCCCTCGCCCCATCTTGGGGAAGCCACCAGGATGTGTCGTGTCGCCGCCAGAGTGGGTGGTTTTACTATTTTCGCAGGGCTGTTTCCAAGAGGTGGAGCTCAGACTCCCATTTCCTTTCTTCTTCAGTGGTTCAGCTGCAGCTCTGGTGGCTGCGTGACCCACTTGCTTCACAGATTACAGCGGCGGCACCCACTAGCCCCACGCATCAGGCCCCACGCTGCGCCCCGGCCCCAGTGGCACCCTGGGCAGTGCCTGCGACATGGGCTGGGTGGCGGCGGGCCTGCTGCTCGGGGCTGGCGTCTGCACCTGCTATTGCATTTATAGGCTGACTTCGGGGCAGCGGCAAGGTGGCCAGGGGCTCTGGCTGTGTCCCTCCTGGTCTGCAAAATTCTTAACCAATGGTTCATATGATGATGTCCTAAATGCTGAACAACTTCAGAAACTCCTTTATCTGCTTGAATTAACTGAGGATCCTACTATCATTGAAAGAGCTTTGGTCACTCTGGGTAACAATGCAGCCTTTTCAGCTAACCAGGCTATTATTCGTGAATTGGGTGGTATTCCACTTGTTGGAAGCAAAATCAATGATCCCAACCACAGTATTAAAGAGAAGGCTTTAAATGCACTGAATAACCTGAGTGTGAATGTTGAAAATCAAATCAAGATAAAGGTATATGTCAATTAAGTCTGTGAGGATGTCTTCTCTGGTTCCCTGAACTCCCCTGTGCAGTTGATGGGACTGAGATTGCTAATACACATGACAGTTACCAATGACCATCAGCATATGTTTACCAATTACATTACAGACTTGTTCCAAGTGCTGCTTTCAGGAAATGGAACCACCAAGGTTCAAGTTTTAAAACTGCTGTTGAATTTGTCTGAAGATCCAGCCATGACCGAAGGACTATTTGGTGCCCAAGTGGATTCATCATTCCTTTCCCTTTATGATGGCCACATGGCAAAGGAGCTTCTTCTTTGAGCACTTACACTAATTCAGAATATAAATAACTGCCTCAAAATGGAAGGTCATTTAGCTATTCAGTCTACTTTCACTCAAGGTTCATTGTTTTTCTTGTTATATGGAGAAGAATGTGCCCAGAAAATGAGAGCATTAGTTAATCATCATGATGCAGACGTGAAGAAAAAGGTAACAATAATATCCAAATTCTAACTGGCAGGTCATATTTTCCAAACAGTAGTGCAGTCTGGAAGACAACTTCATCTTATTTACAAAGAAATTATTCCAGCCCTAGCCGGCTTGGCTCAGTGGATAGAGCGTCAGCCTGCAGACTGAAGGGTCCCAGGTTCGATTCCAGCCAAGGGCACATGCCTGGGTTGCGGGCTTGATCCCCGGTGGGGGGCATGCAGGAGGCAGCCGATCGGTGATTCTCTCTCATCATTGATGTTTCTATCTCTCTCTCCTTCTCCCTTCCTCTCTAAAATCAATAAAGAAATATATTTTTAAAATATAAAAAACAAAATTATTCCAGATGCTGAATTTAAACAGTAAATATCAGATTTCATCATTTCCACAGCTAGAACTTGCCATGGTCTTCTGACTTATTTTGGACCATTTTATTGATACCAAAAAAATATAACAGCTTCTTCTGAAACATATATTTCCTTTTGTTTTGCTCTTTGCTGAGCTACTTTAATTATTTCTTCTACATGAAGTGACAGTGACCTTTTTATATGTAAGCTACTCTTCTGCTGTTTGCTGTGATTAGTAGTTACTCACCTGAGAGAGCATTAGTATGTGATTGTTTCAGAACTGCTGTAGGAATGACGTTCTTTTAGTAGCAATGAGATCCTATGCTCTTGCATCCACCTACCAGACTAACCATACTGTTTTCAAAAGTTTATTCTAATTATTAAAATCTATTCTATTCAATGAAAATGGTAAACTTTTCAGAGAAATGTTTGCTACTACTCACCCACTCCCATTCAGTGTGCCAGCATGTAAAGATGCTGTTATAAAATACTGGGATCCATCCAAGTGCCCACCTATAGGGAAATGGTTAAGTCAATCATCTAGTCTTAAAGAACTAAGTAGGTCTGAATGTGCTAATGTGGAAAGACACCCATGAAATATGAATGTTTTTAAATGAAAGATATTTAGGGTTATATATGGATAGCCACTTCTAGAATGATACTCAAACTCCTGGGCGTGGGACTGTGGAATGAGAAAATGACTTTTCTATGTTCACGTTCTACTGTTTGAAATTTTTACTATGGCATAAATTTAATCATAATTTTTTAAGTTAAAAGGAAAAGTAACTAAAAAAAAAAAGACATAGGGTAGCTGAATGGACAGGAAAACATGACCCATATATTTGCTGTCTGCAAAACACCAACCTCAGAACAAAGGCTCACACAGACTGATAGTGAAGGCATGGAACAATTTTCAGGCAAATGGAAATAAGAAAAAAGCTGGGGTTGCAACACTTATATCTGACAAAATAGACCTCAAAGTAAAGGCCATAACAAGAGATAAGGAAGGCCACTACATAATACTAAAGGGAGCAATCCAACAAGAGGATATCACTCTGGTAAACCTATATAAACCCAATACAGGAGCACCCAAATACATAAAACAACTTCTGGAAAATATCAAAAGAGAGATCAATAGCAATACAATCATAGTAGGGAACTTTAATACCCCACCATTGGATAAATCCTCTAAACAAAAAATCAGCAAAGAAACAGCAATCCTAAAAGACTTGCTAGATCAGATGGACTTAATTGACATCTTCAGAATATTTCATCCCAAAGCTACAGAATATACATTCTTCCCCAGTGCATACAGGACATTTTCAAAGTTAGATCACATATTAGGACACAGGCAAAGTCTCTTCAAATTCAAGAGGATAGAAATCATAAAAAGCATCTTCTCAGATCACAATGGCATAAAACTAGAAATCAACTAGAATAAAAACAATGAGAAAAGTCAAACACTTGGAGGCTAAATAGCATGCTATTAAACAATGATTGGGTTACCAAAGAGATCAAAGAAAAAACAAAAAGCATCCTAGAAACAAATGACAATGAAAACACAACAATCCTAAACCCATGGAACACAATAAAAGCAGTCCTGAGAGGGAAGTTCATAGCTCTATAGGCCTACCTCAAAAAACAAGAAAAAATGGTAATAAATTATCTATCCTTCCAACTTAAAGAATTAGAAGGAGAAAAACCCACAGCAAGCAAAAGAAAAGAGGTAATACAGATCAGAGCAGAAATAAATGACATAGAGACCAAAAAAACAATACAAAAGTTGAATGAAACCAAGAGCTGGTTCATTGAAAGGATAAACAAGATTGATGAACCTCTAGCCAGGCTCACCAGGAAACAAAGAGAGAGGACCCAAATAAACAAAATCAGGAATGAAAGAGGTGAAGTAACAACTGAACCCACAGATATACAAAGGATTGTAAAAAAAATAAAATAAAACTACGAACATCTCTACTCCAAAAAATTGGACAACCTCGACGAAATGGAAACATTCCTAGTAAAATACAAGCTTCCAAAACTCAATTAGGAAGAATCAAAAACCTGAATAGGCCGATTACTATTGAAGAAATTGAAACAGTAATCAAAATGCTTGCAGAAAACAAAAGCCCTGGATGGGATGGCTTCACAGGGGCATTTTACAGAACATTCAAAGAAGACCTAAAACCTATCCTCCTCAGACTATTCCAAAAAATTCAAGAGGAAGGCACACTTCCTAGCTCTTTCTATGAAGCGAGCATTACCCTATTCCCAAAACCAGATAAAGATACCACAAAGAAAGAGAATTACAGGCCAATATCCTTGATGAACATAGATGCTAAAATCCTCAACAAAATTCTAGCAAACCAGATCCAGCATTACATTAGAAAGATCATACACCATGACCAAGTGGGATTTATTTCAGGGATGCAAGGATGGTACAATATCCACAAATCAATAAACGTGATACATCACATAAACAAACTGAGAGACAAAAATCACATAAATCATATCAATTGATGCAGAAAAGGCATTTGGCAAAGTCCAACACCCTTTTCTGATAAAAACGCTCTGCAAAGTGGGAATAGAGGGATCATACCTCAACATAATAAAAGCCTTATATGACAAACCTGCAGCCAACATCATGCTTAATGGGCAAAAACAAAAAGCATTTCCCCTAAGAACAGGAACAAGATAGGGATGCCCACTCTCACCACTCCTGTTCGACATATTACTGGAAGTACTAGCCATTGCAATTAGACAAGAAGAAGACATAAAAGGCATCCAAATTGGAAAGGAAGAAGTAAAACTGTCCTTATTTGCAGATGACATGATACTGTACATAGAAAACCCTAAAGACTTCATAAAAAATATTAGACTTAATAAATGAATTTGGCAATGTAGCAGGATAAAAAATTGATGCCAAGAAATCTATGGCATTTTTATACACCAATAGTGGACTTACAGAAAGAGAGATTTAAAAAAACAATCCCATTTACCATTGCACTAAAAAATTAAGATGCCTAGGAATAAACTTAACTAAGGAGGTAAAAGACCTCTACTCAGAAAACTACAGGATATTGAAAAAACAGATAGAGAAAGACATAAACAGATGGAAGAAAATATTGTTTTCATGGATTGGTAGAATCAACATCATTAAAATGTCCATACTACCCAAAGCAATCTATAAATTCAACGCACTCCCCATTAAAATACCAACAGCATATTTCACTGACCTAGAACAAACTCTCCAAAAATTCATCTGGAATAAAAAAAAAGACCCCGAATAGCTGCAGCAATCCTGAGAAAGAAGAACCAAGTTGGAGGGATCACAGTACCAGATATCAAGCTATATCACCAAGCCAAGGTTCTCAAAACTGCCTGGTACTGGCACAGAAACAGACATATAGACCAATGGAATAGAATAGAGAACCCAGAAATCAACCCAAAACACTATGCTCAATTAATATTTGAGAAAGAGGCAAGAACATACAATGGAGTCAAGAAAGTCTCTTCAATAAATGGTGTTGGAAAAATTGGACAGATACATGCAAAAAAAAATGAAACTAGACCACCAACTTACACCAGACATAAAAATAAACTCAAAATGGATAAAGGACTTAAACATAAGATGGGAAACCATAAAAACATTAGAGGAATCCACAGGCAGCAAATCTCAGATATATGCCGAAGCAATATCTTCACTGATACAGCTCCTAGGGCAATGAAAACTAAAGGGAAAATAAATAAATGGAACTACATCAAAATAAAAAGCTTTTGCACAGCAAAAGAAACCATCAACAAGAAAGCCCACTGCATTGGATAACATAATTGCAACTGTTATCTATGATAAAGGTTTAATCTCCAACATTTACAGGGAACTCATACAACTTAAGAAAAGGAAGATAAACAACCCAATCAAGAAATGGGCAATAGACCTAAATAGATACTTTTCGAAAGAGGACATAAGGAAGGCCAACAGACATATGAAAACATGCTCAAAGACACTAATCATCCGAGAGATGCAAATCAAAACGACAATGCGGTATCATCTCACACCTGTCAGAATGGCTATCATCAAGAAATCAACAAACACCAAATGCTGGCTTGAATGTGGAGAAAAAGGAACCCTCATGCACTGCTGGTGAGAATGGAGACCGGTGCAGCCACTGTGGAAAACAGTATGGAGTTTCCTCAAAAAATTAAATATGTAACTGCCATTTGACCCAGTGATCCCACTCTTAGGAATATATCCTAAGAAACCTGAAGCACTAATTAGAAAGAGCGTGTGCACCCCTATGTTCATAGCAGCACAATTTACAATAGCTAAGATCTAGAAACAGCCCAAGTGCCCATCAGTAGACGAGTCAATAAAACATTTGTGGTACATTTATACCATGGAATACTATTCAGCAGTGAAAAATAAGAATCTCTTCCCCTTTGAGACAGCACTGAGGGACCTGGAGAGTATCATACTAAGTGAAATAAGTCAGTCAGAGAAAGATGAGTATCACATGATTGCACTCATGTGTAATGTAAGTAACAAAATAAACAGATGAACAGAGTGGATCCAGAGACATAAAAGCATGGAACAGAGTGTGAATCTTCAGAGGGAGGGTGAGGGAGGGTGGGTGGCTGGGAGGTAATGAACCAAAGACCTTGTATACATATATGCATAACCCA